AAAAATGATGAGCTCTTTGTGACAGAACTAGCACCTTTCTCTCAAAGCAACAATATAAACACAGGGGACTAATCTCAACAGCCTGTAGGCCGGGCTCAGTTATTCAAGCCTGTAATTCCAGCACTTTGGGAGGCTAAGGCCAGTGGATTGCCTGAGCCCGCGCTTTCGAAACCAGTCCAGGAAACTTGGCAAGACTTCGTTTCTACAATAAATAAAAAATTATCCAGTCATTGTAGCGCGTACCTGTAGTTCCAGCTACTTGGAAGGCTGAGGCGGAAGGATCGTGAGAGCCCAGCAGGTCGACACAGTGGTGGCCGTGAGTGTGCCACTGCACTCCAGCCTGGGGAACAGAGTGGAGTTCTGAGTGAGAATCCAACTCAGAAAAAAAAAAAAAACCCGCCTGTAACCCAGCTTCTGCTCTGGGTCCTCATGACTCTGTGCTGCTCCATGTGCCTAAAGGATTCAGTATCCTCAGAGGACTGGTTCCAGGACCCTCATATATGCACAAATCCATGGATACACAAGTTCAGCATAAGTATTCTTATGCCTTACAATTTAATTAAGGTATCAATAAAGACTTCTTTGACACGACATCCCTCTCCTTCATTGATCCTCAGAAGACAGATAAGAGTCTCATCTCTGCTCTTCTGACATTCGTACAAACTTACTATTGTTTTAGAATCTTACCTTTCTTTCTCATTAGACTAAACAACTATAAAACTATGATTCTAACCAGTTATTTCTTGTGTTATCCTGCTTAGGGTATGTGGAAGGTGTGCAAGAAATGAATACATTCATTGTTGGAAAGCATGTTCAATTTCTGGAAGACCTCAGAGAGAAATATGGTATAGTAGAAATAAATCTGGAGCCAAGCTTGGGATCAGGCTTAGAAGCATCTCAACTACTCTGTGTCTGATTCTCCACACCTGTTAATGTGGTTGGATGATCAAGGGTTCAGCCAGTAACCTCGGTGGTCCTTGGCATTTCAAGACTAGAATTTGCTCCCACTCACATCCCCTCCCCAACCCACCCACAATTGTAAAGCTGCAAGCTTCCTTTGTAGCATTATGAATCTGGGGACAGTCATTGCTTGGCCCTCAGGGGACTGGCTCCAAGACTCCCACATACACCCAAATCTACGCATACACAAGTCCAGCACTTGGTGCTGCAGAACCCGAACCTATGTATACAAAAGTTGACCCTCTCTATATAAGCAGGTTGCACATCCCAGGAATACTTATTTCCATCCACAGTTGGTCAGAAAAAAAACCCATGTATAAGTGGACACACAGTTAAAATCTGTGTTGTTCAAGGGTCAACCGTATGGAGTTCATGCCAAGGCTCCAATCACAGAATCTATTCCTACATAATCAAGGTAGGCTTTAAGATGTAGATAACACAGGTCATGTCATTCTGAAGCCAGATTCACATAAGGTTTTTATTTAAAATATATAAAACTATGTTCAATAATCAGTAAAGGAAGCTTGGAGAGTCAAAATTCTTCAGGCTACCATGTTCAAACAAATGTTTATGATCTAATATTTAGAATTCAAAGACAAGAGAGGACAGTATGTAAAATTGATTTTATTTGACATATATGTATATCAAATATAAAATTAGTTTAACTAACAGATCTAGTTAGTTGGCTAAAACTCTAAATAGATCATATAAAACAAAGATTGGCAACCCTTTTTTATATGTGTCTCCTCTATAACAAAAGACTTTTACCATTGCCATAACTTGATATTGCTGGAAAACATTTCTGACATTTGACATTAACAGCACAAAATAGAAAATGGAAAAATAAGAACTATATCTATGCTCTGGGGGAAAAAAATTAAACAACAAATTGATATTTATTTGTCCTTAGAAACAAACCTAGCAGAACAAAGATCAGAAATATCCAAATACACATAGTCATCAAATTAAATTATTTTGCAATTACCAACTTACTGGCAGGAAAGAAAGGTGCATGACTCTTCCCTCACATCCCACTAAGAGTTAATGATGAGTCACATAAAATGATTTTGCTACAGTCTGATAACTCCTCCTTTACATGTTTGCTCTCCATCCTCACTGTTATAGACTCTTATTTTAGAGACTGGAACTTTAGCTAGTCTCATAATAGGTTTTTGTCCAGTCTTGCTCTATGCCCCCATCCTTCCTCTATACTTTTGTGTGTTACCTTTCTGAACCCCAAATCTCCATTGTCTGTTCCAAAGTCTGGACTTCTTGATCTACACAAGACTTGCACCACTTGACCATTGCTTTCCTTTTCTGGCATCTTTATTCATCACACTTACCCTGCTCTTGCACCTGAACCACTTGCGTTTGCCTGAATGCCCCGTGCGGTTTCATGCTTTCAAGTCAACAAGCAGTAGAGTACTTTACAGCTATGTGCCAGTTATGCCATAGGCAGTTTTCATGCATTTGCCTATGCTGTTCCCAATGTGTAGAATGCCCTGCCCAAAATCTATCTCCTGGAATATATCGACCCATCTTTCAAGTCTCAGCATACGATTCGTATAATCTGTTAAAACCAACCACTTCTCTTTCCGTGACTTTCATCAGCTCTGTTCAGATGTCAGTCATGGAAAGTCTTAAAATTTTTAGCTATGTCTATTGGACCATAAACCTTGAGGAAAAGGTCCATGCCTTATTCATCATTTCATCCCTAACACCTGCCTGGTGCCTGACACTTGCATGAATTCATCTCAGCCCCCAGCTAGTCCTATTCCACCTTCATTTATGGCAAAAAACAAAATCAGCAATGAAAAACATCATCAGACACTACTTGATTATCATTTCACAAGTCAGAATAGAAATAAAAAACTATAATGGACTTGCAGAATCATAAGGATAAATCTAAACTAATGAAACCCAGAGAAATTTGAGAACTGCCTCAAGTTAGGAGACACACTAACGGCTAGGGGTTTCTTTCATAACTGCTATCGAGAAGATATGCTGCTCTTTCCACCTTGTTAAGCATCTAATCAAACTGAGTACAACAAAACTAAGATCCTCCTTTTCTGCCGAGAAGTTCAACAATTCAAGTTTGTGAGACATTTAATAAATAAAAACTCCCTTCCAATTTCCTCTTCCGTAAGCAGTTGGACACATCAGTGACAAGATCACTTCTCGCTATTTCCCAGCTTAATGCTAACATTGCCTCCTGCAAATCAACGTCTGTCACCCTTATGGCAGACTTAAATGCTGCTTCCCCTATATTCCCATAGCACTATATATTCTCTATTAAAGCTAGTTTAAAAAGTGATAATATTAATTCTAGAACGTGAAATTGCAACAAGTCAGTGCCTGGCATATAAGGAGTACTCAAGTGAAGGATGACTTGAATCTTGCTTCAATGAAGTGAGTCAAGACTAATTATGTTAATTACTCTTAAGAACTTCCTTGGCATTTAATGTTAATCTTTGAACACAGATTTAGTTTCAGTGGTTTAGTTTTAGTGATCTGTGCTGCCTACAAAACTAAAGTTTGTCCAAAAAAGTGTTAATTATTTGAGGTCACTATATTTTTAAGAAATGAGTTTATTTAAACTATTGCTACAGGTAAGTAAAAACTACTAACACAATGATTCTCTGAGTGGTTGCTTTTATGAATACATAAGATAATTTTAAGTGGTTGGAATAGGTCCACAGAACTGTGATGTTGCCAACTAATGTTTTAATTATTTAAAAGTTTTAAATAAGCAAACACTTAAGTTCAATAATTAAACACAAAGTTTAATTATTATTAAACTCCAACTGAATTTGTTGTAGGCAAATGGGTGGTGATAAAACAGCTAATCTGAAATCTGCTCTTGAAATTTGTTATGATTGGGTCACTGATTGACCCCACCCTCCCCATATCACTCACAACATGATTCACTATTTTGCGATTCTTGATAGTTAAAAAAACAATTTTAATATTGAAATTCAAGTCTAACTTGCGGCTTCATTTTTACAATTTGGTAATTCTGCAAAGATATTTGAATACTAGTTTAACACTGGTACATCTCAAGTCTGATTTTGTAACAGCCTCAGCAAAATCAATTTACATAACTAACAATACTAAAACACTTAAAAATTATTTCAAACAGTAATTTCCTTTGGTCCTACTTGTTTGGGCTTCATAACTGCTGTAGCATCCTTCTTTTGAGGACATAAACAATATTTAGAAATGAAATGGAGAAAAATTACTAGAAAACAAATTGAGAGCTTTAAAAAATTTCACCACACATTAGTAAGCTGGATGGGTTAAAATATAACCCATTCAATGACATATATGCAAGTTAATACCACAAATTCAAGGATATAAGAAAATAGATTAGACTTGCTTTTACATTCACCTCTACAGATGCTATTAATAACCACACTAGTATAATAAAAAGCAATCAAGAACAATCAATGTGTCTCTCAGTATGTGTGTATGTGGATATCTGCATATTTGACATATGCACACACAAAATACCCAAATTACTTCAATCCTAGATCCATTTACCTCTGAGTGATTTAGATTAATCACAGTGGCATATAAAGGGGAAAAAAATCAATTTTGGGCTTCCTAGTAAGTAAAACCAAATCAAATTGCTCAAGTGATGCTATAGTAGCTGTTTTTACAGAAAAACATCAATTTCTATACTTTCTGGTTACATACTTTATCATTAAACCTTAACTTTACCAACATTGCTTTCAAGTAATGAAAATATTATTGACTTATTCAGAATTATATATACTACATGAAAAAAACAAATCGTGAGCTTTTGTTTTTTGAACAATCATCAAACATGTTTTCATCTGAATGAAGAAAATTCTTTCAGTTTAATATTAATATATGTTTTTCAGTGAAACAAGAAATAAATTTACAATAAAATTAGTTCATTTTATAAGTCTTTTAATCTTCAAATTCAGCCTAACAGAACAACAATGATTACAAGAGGAAAAAAAATAACACAATAAATCTCCTGTGGCCATCATCTCAGGGACTGGTTCTCTTGTATGGCTGAATTCTATCACAAGCTGTCATGTTTCCAAAATTTGGATGGTGCTTTAAAGTGGAACTGCCTGAGAAGATTCAGAAAGCCTTTGTTCTTGGGCTTACACAGTAAGCACTCTGCATGATTCGTAATCAAATTTTCATCCAGAACACACTGTTACAGGTCACATTTTTCCCACAATGCTTATACTGATTGGTACTCTATAAATATAAACATATTTACATACAAAATACACACACGGACATGGGGGTATGAAGTTAGCCAGCCATCCATAGGAAAAATGGAATAAAAATTGCTGGAAGAGTAGTATATGACACCAAGCCCATACAGACTATAGACGCCAATCCCAAGACAGCTGAAGCAAGAACACTTCTCTGATCACGAATAATTATCTTCACATTCTCACAAAACTGGAAAATAAAATTTAAGAATATTAGGAAAGATGACTAAACTCAATAAAAATCAAATATACCAAATAGTTAAAGTAGTATCCATTTTCTTGATTCTGTATCCTATACTAGCTGAAATGACCCTTTAGGCAATCGGATTAATAATGACAGTTGTCTTGTAAATACAGCATTTAAAGAAAATGAAAAAAACAACATTAACCTGCTTATCAATAACAGTAGCATATTCTAAAAATGAGCAAAGAGATTTCTAATCTTGAGCAAAATGAGTAGAATTTGGCCCATTAAAGTTAGATTCAATTCCTCTAATTCACCATTCTAAAATTTGATGATACCAATGATAATTTTTTTATAAGTCTCAAAATCTAAAGGAATAGAAAGTCTAATTTTGTTGACAAATGCTATTCCCCAACCCCCCTTCTGGGAATATACCTGGAGGAGCTCAAACCATTCTACAAAAAAAGATACCTGCACATGCATATTTATTGCAGCACTATTCACAACAGTAAAATCAAGGAACCAACTGTGCTGCCCATTGAAAGTGGACTGGTTAAGATGTGGTATATATACACCAGTGGAATATTATGCAGTCATAAAGAAGGACAAAATTATGGAATTCGCAACAACTTGAATGGATTTGAAGTCTTATCATACTCAGTGATCTATCACAGAAACAAAGAACTGAGTACCACATGTTCTCACTCATAAGTGGATACTGAACACTTATAAAGGGGAATTGTCAGTAGCGGGACACTGCCAGGGGAGGGTGGGGGCACATAGCATCAATAAGGGTATCTGATCCTAATCCAGGCAAAGTGAGGTTCAGTGGGAGGCCTAAAATGTCCCTGTACCTAAACCACTTATGTACACAATCCTGACTTGCACCCCACAGACTTAAAAAAAATCTGATTCCCTAAGTAAATGAAATGCACCATCATTTATGGAACACATTAACTGGTTGCCGAAAATAAAGACAAATTAAATGTGGTCCCAGACCCTGAATAATGCATTATTTTAATATGTGTAATTTTTTCCTTAGAAAAACAATTTTACTTAAAAGTGATGGCCTGTGTTTGAGTCCTGGCTTGACCTCTTATTGGCTCTGTGACCTCAAGTAAGTCACTTATAACCTGTCCAGACTACCCTCTTCTCCTCCTTCATGGGAACACTGAAATTGTTCTGAAGATCAAACGAGATGTCTTATACAAAGTAGTCTGTATTGTTCTATCCACTGTATACAATAAGATATTATGCTTATTATTACTGTAATATCTGTTGATGATTATCTCTACCATATTGCTATCAGTGCCAGAATTTAGCAATTAATTGCCAGTTCTATATGAGATTTGCTATTCATACTAATTTTAAACTCTTTCTGACATGGCATTGTATGTGCTTTTAGGGCTATCTACAGTGACTTACATAGTACTGAACAGCAAAGCTTCCAAATTCTTAATAGAATGAACAAATTCAATATATTTTAACACACCATCTAGACAGTATGGTTGTCTCTATTCATACTTTTACACAAGTGTGAATGAAAGTATCTTTTATCTAAACAAGTGTGAAATAGTCTGTTATCCAGATGTTGATCTGTTTATCTGTCAAATATGATTTGTCTCTTTTTACTAAACTAGCAAGACATTGAGTAGCAAGTACACATCTTAAAGTGGTGAGGACCAAATTGAATGAAGTCTTCAGGACAGTGAGAAAAGGAGTTAGGCAAATAATGGAAAATATATAGTTAAGTAAATAAGTATGTGGCAAATATAGTTATGCTTGTTTTATCTTTTGCCCAAAAATTTATAATTAAGGCAGATAGAATTATTATGGACTCTCCCACAAAAGCAGAGTTTCTCAAGGAGCGTCTCATCTAATGTCCTGTTCCTATTCGCTTGGCCAGCAACCCATGAGGCATCCTTAGTCATTCTCAACGGTAGGAAATTTCTAGAAGTTGTCAGGAAATCTTTAGGAACATTTTTGTGAGCACACAATCTTCAGAAAATATAAAGGGTATTTTCAATCATTTTTGGCAATGAAAAAACAATATTGACAAAGTTTTTTTTTTTTTTTTGAGTTGGAGTCTTACTTTGTCACCCAGGCTGGAGGGCAGTGGCACGCTCCTGGCCACCGCAGCCTCGGCCTGCTGGGCTAATTTTTTTTTTTAATAGTAGAAAATTGTAGCCGGGCTCGGTGACTCAGCCTGTAATCCCAGCACTCTGGGAGGCTGAGGCAAGTGGATTGCCTGAGCCCGTGACTTCAAGACCTGCCTGGGCAACTTGGCGAGACCTCATCTCTACAATAAATCAAAAAATTAGCCGGGCCTGGTAGCACGCGCCTGTAGTTCCAGCTACTTGGAAAGCTAATGCGGAAGGATCGCCGCAGCCCAGGAGGTCGAGGCTGCGGTGGCCAGGAGAGGCCACTGCACTCCAGTCTGGGTGACAGCGTGAGACTCCAACCCAAAAAAAGAAAAAAAGAAAAAGAAAAAGAAAAGAAAAGAAAATTGTAAGGAATGTTAATAGGAATTTATAGTTTACAAAATACTAATTGTCAACAGCAATATAAAAATCCCATAATTTTATGATATCTAAACTTATTAAAAAATGAGTATACTACAAAGAAGTAAGTGTTCTTTTCCAGTTCACTTTCAAACGGATTGCAGTGTTTTCCTGAGGGAAAGCGTTCTTGAGAGTTTTCTAAACTCAAATTTAAGAGACAACTTTGCAACTCCCATGTTAAGTTCATAATAGTTGTACATATGAAGAACTCAGCAACCAGACCCCAAATCAAATAATCTGTTATGTTTCTGAAAGGTAGAAACCAGTTCTCCTTCAGTATTAATGACCTACTTCTCTCAGGGCATGTTCAAAAACAGTTCTTAGAATTAGGAAATTTGGGATGAGGATTCTTTTTTTCCCGGGAAATCTACTCTGTGGCCAAATTGTTTGTTAGACCATTCAAAGTGAAGACAAAAACTCAGTTTCACAAGAGGTGCTATGCAGCAACAGCAATTAAAACACTTCTGTATTTCTGTAAAACCTGACAAAGTGACAAAGATGAAAAACTACTCCAACTAGTTATTTATGCAGATTAAATATTTTACTACCTTAAAAGAGCACTTGTGCTGTTTTTCTGTAGAAATACATAATACAGTACTATATGTGTTCCATGAAAGGGTAACTCCTAATTACTAGACAGAAATACTGTTTTTCCTTAGAGAAATGATTTGCTTGGTTCCTAAGTAAATCTGACGTGTTTCCTTTTGTACACTTTTGGAGCCAGTGTTTGTAAATGTGGTGAAGTTCATTTCTAAACAGGCCTAGACTGGAGCTGTGATTCTTAAATCATTGCACAGTGCTCTAACTGTATTTTTATTTTACTTGGAAAATAATTCCTAGATTGAGTCTGTTGTGGCTCTACGGAATCTACAAGGAGTTTCATATACCCCTGTATAAAAGCAGAAGACTTTCATGCTCTGACTCAGAGGAGAAAGATTTTCCCAAATGGGTCAAAAATTAATCAAGATGTAGAGCAATTAAAAACTGGCTACATGAAAAAAAAAATGAACTCAGATTCTTCTGGCCCCAAAAATATCTAAACATGAAGAGTAGAACCAAAGTTCATTATGTGATTATCCAGGTTTCCATTATGAAGAGCAAACATTAACAAGTGCAGTGAAGACTGAGAAAGTTTCCAGTTGCAAAGGAAGTTGCCAGCTTAAAATGTTAACTGTCTTTAAAAGATAAGAGACTTTAAAAAGAAATAAAAATCCATTTTCCTCCCTTTGGACTTGTGGTTCCTTTAATAATCTTAAATTGAATACTTCTTTTTTAAGTGCTCATAAAGAAATTACCTTCCAACATTTAACAACTCTTCTGGAAAATCAATTGTTTCGATCTCTGGAGAACCCAGAAACTTATCTACTCTACCTTTAGGACTAATGGGCAAAGGATGCTTAACAATGAGGAAGCCTAAAGGTCGATTAAAGCCAACCCAGAAAGAATTCAGAATATCAAGGAAAAGACCCCTCTGAAGCACAGACACAATAAGGGATCTACCAGGGAGGTCCTCTTACTGAGAACTTTGATAGTTTATATTAAGCAAAGAAAATATACACTATGCAGCTTGCAGAGGGAGAAAAGTGCATGCTTCCTGACTTTAAAGGCACACAACTTAAATTTATTACATATAAATTCTAGACATCTTCCTTGCAAGTGAAATATTGGGAAAAGGTGCAGACGTGACAAATTTCTTGCGATACCCACCGCCCCTCCCCTCCCCCGCCCGCCGCCACTTGTCCTTTGTCATTTGAACTACATTGTGGGTGGACACCCTGATTAATTCTGCAGCAGTAAGTGGGGCTGTCTGGGAGCTCCGGAAGCGCTCCTGCACTTCCACACCCCCTCACTGCGCATCTCGAGATATCCTGCGAGGCCCATCTCCATGCCCGTATTTACTTTGCCTCCCTCAGAAACATCACAGCTTTCCTTACTGGACCCCGAACTCTTGAGGATGGTGTGGAAGTGGTGGGGGAGGTGTCCAGGAAGAAGATCCTCGCTCCGGGGGAAGAGAAGAAAAAGGTCGGGGGTGGGAGGGGGCATCCCCGCCGAGCCCAGCTCCCCTGTGAGTCATACGTCGTACCTTATCCGACTGCGGGCTGATCGCGGTGCCGTATCTGCAGTAGGTCACGAAGTGCTCGCAGTTGTTCCACAGCAGGCTGTAGGGGGTCGTGCCCACCAGCCTCTCAGCCCTCCGCGCTACCTCCTCGTTGAGCAGCGCCTTCTTCTTGAGGGACTCGTCCAGGTGATTGACCAGGATGTCGGCTCCGTAGGCGAAGTCCTCCACTGTGTCCACGCGGATGCTGGCCACTCGGACGATGACGCCCAGGATGAGACGCTTGTTGGAGACCACCTTCTGCATGCGCCTCTTGTCTTCGGTCAGGGCCACCAGGATGTCGGGCATCATGTGGGCGACACGGTTGTCGCCCAGGTAGATGCCATAGTGGGTCAGGTGGGTCCGGGGCACCTCCAGCACATCGCCTCGGAGGAAAGAGTTCATCTTCTGAAAAGCGTTCCTCCCTTTGTCTTCGCCCCGGGCGCCGGAACTGAAGAGTTTCAAGTTGGAGATGAGAAGCAACTTCTCCAGCACCAAGAACGCCATCTCCAGCATTGGGTTCTTCATCCTGTAGGGAAGACCAGAGTCTCGGAGGGCTGTCGCCGCAGCGCACCGGCCCGGCCCGGCAGGGCGAGCTCGCCGGACCGGGGTGCTGAGCGGCTCTCACCTGCCGGCCAGGTGAGGGACGGCGCGCGAGAGAAAAGAAGTTAAGGGAGAAAAGCCTGAGGTTTGGCTGGCTCAGCCAAACCGCAGTTGTGAATGAGGGAAGGACCGCGGGAACAGCAGGGCCAGTGCGGCAAGGTAAGAGAGCGGACCCGGAGCGGTGCCGGGGCGCAGAGTCGCGCGCGGTGCTCGGGGCGCCACCTCCGCCGCGGCCTTTTATGGCCGTCGAGGGGGCGGAGCCGAGCGCCGTCACAGACCCGGAATGCGCACTGATTGGGCGCTGGCGGCGAGCCCGCTCTCGAGGGGCGGGGGCGGGACTGCGGTCGCTTTGGAACAGGGCTGGCCGACTTTGACCTCTGGTTCCCCACTTCGGTCCCTTCACGTGCGGGTTCCCCCCTTGCCAGGAGAAGCAATCACTTGCGCTCTTGAAGCGGCGAGTTAGGGCAGTAGAGACCAAAAGTCCCGCACCTATCAGAACCAGGGCGCGTTCCGGGCACCTCGAAGTCGCTTTTGGAGGAAAGTCCTCACGGGCAAAATTTCTGAGCCGGCCTCCCTCCCTCTAAAGGATGGCGGTGCGGAGACCGCCACTGGGAAAGACGTTGCGTTTGTTTTGCAAGTGTGCGCACCTCAACAGTCTGCGGATTCTTTCCTAACGGACCTCCCGCTTGTTTAAATGCCTGGAATCTCAGTGTCCCCCGGCAGGCCCCTCCGGCGAGGCCCCTCCGCGCCGCGGGCACCGGCGGCCGTTGAGCGCGCGTCGTCCGACAGTCAGCCTGGAAAACGGCGAGGCCCCAACGTCTGCCAGAGGGGCAGGATTCGGGTCCAGTTTATTCCTCCTGCTTCAGCGTCCCATGGACCCAGCTTCGATTCACCCACCGAAACTTATCTCCTCCTCCAACTCGTGTTTTGAGAAGTGTAACCTCCGGGAGGTGGCCGAGGAAGACAAAGCGCTTGGCTGAGGCTCGGGGCTCCTTGCCCCCGGGCCTGCCGCCTGGCCCCAGCTCACCCTCCAAGGTGGTCCGGGGCAGCGGCAGGCGGAGTAGTCGCTGCGGCGGCGGCCGCGCCAGGCCCGACACGCGGTGTCCTCACCCCGCGTCGGGCTCCGTGTTCGTGCATTATGCAAATGCCAAGACTCCGCGGACAAAGGCCACAATGGAGAGTCCCGGTTGGCTCTACAAAACTGCCCAGTTGGGGCTAATAGGTTTCATCAGGAAGCCGCTTCTCCGCTCGCCTGGGGGAGGGCGTTTTCTGAGGATGATGGATGGGCGCACATTCATCTTACCTGGAAGACGAAGGGGGCCCTGGAGACCAGACGGGGGGAGGACGGCTCCCCATTATTCTCGGAGGCCGGGTCTTGGCCCCCACTCCCGATCTGCCGTCAGCGATCTGTCCCCGTCGCCCCTCTTGCCGTGACTTTTGTTCGTTTCACAAATGGTTGCGCATCACATTATGGTCCGAGCCTAGAGGAGAAAACTGCCTCGAGCGAATGGAAAAGAGGAGGGTGAAAGGGGAAGGGGAGAGAGACAGCGGACGTGGAGAGCTTTTAAAGTTTATTTTTTTCAGTCTATCCTCAAAATGTAAAGTGAAGCTCCGAGGTGGCAAGTTGCTGACTCTAACCCGACACCCCCGCCCACGGGCACTGGTCAGCTCCTGGCCACACTCTGGCTCAATGAGCTTCTGTAAAGCCGGGGGTCTGTGGGTATCTTGCAAAGTCTGATCCGTTAACCGCAGACTCGACGACAGACTCGAAGGCTCTGGCCTCACTCCCCCCCACCCCTGCCCTGCCGCTGGACAAAGGGGACGGGGAAATGGGCGGCTTCTGTCACGGCTGGTCACCAAAGCGGCTTAGGGCTCCGGGGACTGTCTCCACCTGGAAAGCTTACGGGGAGACAAAAGCCTGCAGAATTACTTCACCGCAACATAAAACTCTTTTAGAGCAAAACAACAACAACAACAACAAAAACAAAAACGGAGAAATCACCTGTAGACCTCCAAAATAGCCTCTTCCCCATGGCGTTTTGCAAAGGGAAAGCAGCACCAAGCTGACGTGCATGTGATTGACTGCTGCTTTCTCTGCAGTGGGATCAGTTTTCTGGACACCCTCTTGGGAAAGGGAGTCTCTTCTAAGAGAAAGGATGAGGGAACCATCCGAGGCCGAATTTGCGTAGGCCACTCAAGATGCAGAAGTGGGCCGAGTGTGGTGGCTCAAACCTGTAATCTCAGCACTTTGGGAGGCTCAGGTGAGAGAATTGCCTGAGGCCACGGAATCAAGAACAGCCTGGACAACTTGGTGAGACCTCATCTCTACAATAAAAAAAACAAATCAAAAATTTTGCCGGGTGCCTGTAGTTCCGGCTACCTGTAAGGCTGAGGCTGAAGGATCGCCTGAGCCCAGCAGGTCTAGGCTGTGGTGGCCACAAGCGTGCCACTGCACTGCATCCTGGATGACAGAGTGAGACTCCAAGAAAAAAAAAAAAAAAAAGACGCAGAAGCGCCACTGCCTGGGTTATGAATGAAGGTGGGGGCATCCACAGTTTGCTTCTGTTTCTGATAAATCCCAGTTTTTAAGCCAGAATGATGTGCCATTAAATAAATTTTATTTTTCTCAGTGGAAGTAAGGCAGGGTAGCTAGCAAAAGTTAGACATTGATAGATAAAATTCCAGTAGGCAGGTTTTAGGAAGCATTCAGACTTTTTGAAATTCCTTTTTGTCCCCTCTCTGCAGGCCAAGCAAAATAAAATCCCATCAAATGCAAGAACAGCCCAACCTTTCAATTCATGGTTTAGCATAATCACAGAATCTTTCAGGTTCCCTGTGGAAGGCGCCAAATACCACCCCTTAACTAACCACATCCATAGAAATAATAATAAAACCCCTTTTAGCTCATGAAATGGTGAATTGGAAACCTCTGGCAGGGCTCCTGCAAAAGACAAGGTGGCCTGGAAAAGGCCACCCCTTCTCCCTTTCCTCCCCTCAGAAGTGGAGAGATGTCAGTCTCTCCAGAGTGGCAGTTATCTGTGTCCCACCCTCTTGAGCAAAGCAATTGTTGGGGAGACATATCTAGTTTCGTAGATAAGAGCAAAAGGGCAATCTTTCTTTTTCTGGGGAGACTTGCAGGTGCGGGATCTTTCTGGTAGGAAACTTTCACCTGCTCTTTCATTTCCTCTCTTCTTCTAGCTAGCTTTGTTTTAAAACTTTGCTGGCCACCTAAAATTCGGGTTGAGTCAAGGTATCTACAACATTTGTGCTGGACGGCACCCGCATTAGAACTGGAAAGAAGCGATGTCAGGCTTGCAGACCCCAACACCCCTCCCCCTGCCCTGCCCCTCCACCCCTGTGGGGAATTGGGATCTTGACCCCTTGAGGAGTCCCCAGAACGACCTCCGGAGCCTTGAATCTAAAACTCCCTAGGCCTCTTATGCAGGACACGATTAGGCTGCTTTCCAAGTGCAAAAGGTAACCTGAAATGAGCTGGACCTCTTGTGCCCGGCCCCCCTCGGTCAAGGATGTCTGTAGCTTGCCTTGCAAAAGGCGACTTCTCAAGGCTCCCCAAGTTGCCTGTGTTTCTGTGTAGCAGGCTGGAAAGTTCCGTTCGCACTAGAACTTTCCTGCCTGCTACACAGAGAAGACTATGGCGGTAAGGTGGGAATGCCCAAGGGAAATCTAACATTAGAAAGTTCTAAATCAAAAACTGTCCTCAGGAGACAGGAGAAATGTCCCTGCTCCGAGTTGCTGGAAAGACCTCTCGTTGTTTCCCAGATCCTAAGAAAGCCTGCCACATTCAAAGATAAGGTTTGATGGTCAAACGCCTCAAGTACATGCAAGTGGGTCGCCAGGCCTGGCGGGGAGATTTAGAAAGAGCCGGGACTTGACTGATCAATCTATAGACTGAGCTGAGCCGAGCAGCAGACCCTTGCCTCCTGCACCATTCTCTAGCCACCTGCAGAAAGAGGAAGAACAACTGCAGTGGCGGGGATACGCTGTCCCTTCTTAGCTGCTTGTACTCAGACCGGGTCCGTTTCTGCCAATAGCACAGACCAAGAACTCGTTGGGTCTCAGCGCAGAAGAGGCCGAAATTGGGGTTTGCAAAGCCCACCTAACGCCCGGGCCTCATCTTTGGTCCCTCTACCTCGTCGCAGGTCCCAGGAGAGTTTCTGCTCTCAGGAACCGGGATAAGGAGGAGTCGCAGAATCCCGAGGCGCTTACAAGTCTAAGGGATTTCCTACCTGCAAGCTCCTTACTACTGAAGCCCACCTGCTCCTCAGACATGTCTTTGGAGTGGAAGATGGGATCATGATGTCAGTAATACTAATAGTTAATATGTATTGCGTGCTTCCGATGTCTAGGTAATTCAACTAAGCATGTTCTTATTTCATCCTCATCACCATGTGAGGCATTACCTCCATTTCACATAGAAAGAAATTGAGGCTCCTGCAAAAGACAATGTGGTCTGGAAAAGACTACCCTCCCCTCTTTTGTCTAGGTCACTATGCTAACATGTGGATAAGGACTCAACAATTACAGTTCTCTTTGGCCCCCAGGTCTTCAATCATGACTGAGGAAGGCCTGACGTTCCACCAGTCTAACCACCCATCAACCATTATTTATCGAATACCTGCTATATACAGGTACTATACTCAGTCCTGGAAGTTCAACTAAATACCTAACCCTAAACTTGGATCTCCCGTTTTTTCTTTGTAATTTGGATTTAATTTTCCCGCTTTTGTCATGCCATGGCTCCAATTCTTACCATGTTAATAAGGTTCTGGTTCATGCCCTCATCAGGAAAGCCCCTGCACTTGAGTGGCCATGAATCCTGACACCCTCCTTAGACACATGAATGTGGAGTGGGGAAGTTGAATATCTTACCCAGGGGCACAGAGTCAGGAGCAGAACCTAGGCCCA